GCAGTGAATCATGAACTCAGCAGTTCAGCTCCCCTGTCTCCCTGCAGTGGCTTAGCAGCTCAGCTCCCCTGTCTCCCTGCAGTGACTCAGCTGCTCAGCTCCCTGTCTCCCTGCAGCTTAGCTCAGCTCTCCTGTCCCTGCAGCCTCAGCAGCTCAGCTCTCCTGTCTCCCTGCAGCTGCTCAGCAGGTCAGCTCCCCTGTCTCCTGGACTCAGCAGCTCAGCTCTCCTGTCTCCCTGCAGTAACTCAGCAGCTCAGCTCCCCTGTCTCCCTGCTGCGACTCAGCAGCTCAGCTCTCCTGTCTCCTGCAGTGGCTCAGCAGCTCAGCTCCCCTGTCTCCCTGCAGTGGCTCAGCAGCTCAGCTCTCCTTTCTCCTTGCAGTGACTCAGCTGCTCTGCTCTCCTGTCTCCCTGCAGTGGCAGCAGCTCAGCTCTCCTGTCTCCCTGCAGTAACTCAGCATGCTCAGCTCTCCTGTCTCCCTGCAGTGGCTCAGCAGCTCAGCTCCCCTGTCTCCTTGCAATGACTCAGATGCTCAGCTCCCCTGTCTCCCTGCAGTAGCTCAGCAGCTAGCTCCCCTGTCTCCCTGCTGACTCAGCAGCTCAGCTCCCCTGTCTCCCTGCAGTGGACTCAGCAGCTCAGCTCTCCTGTCTCCCTGCAGTGACTCAGCAGCTCAGCTCCCCTGTTTCCCTGCAGTGGCCCAGCAACTCAGCTCCCCTGTCTCCCTGCAGTGACTCAGCAGCTCAGCTACCTTGTCTCCCTGCAGTGACTCAGCAGCTCAGCTCCCCTGTCTCCCTGCAGTGACTCAGCAGCTCAGCTCCCCTGTCTCCCTGCAGTGACTCAGCAGCTCAGCTTCCCTCTCTTCCAGCAGTTAGCAGCTCGGATTTTCCTTTTCCCAGCAGTGACTCAGCATCTCGGTCCCTTTTTTGTATCGAATAGAACTTTTTTCCCTTTTCCTTTTTTTTTTTTCTGTATCAAATAGAATTTGTATTGTTTCCCCCGCCCCCCTTTTTTTTTTCTGTATTGAATAGAACTTTTTTTCCCTTTTTTCTTTTCTTTTTTTTTCTGTATCGAATGGAACTTGTTTCCCTTTTTTCTATTTTTTTTCCGTATTGAATAGAACTTGTTTCCCTTTTCTTTTTTTTCTGTATCGAATAGAATTTGTATTGTTTCCGCCCCTTTTTTTTCTGCATCGAATAGAACTTTTTTTCTTTTCTTTTTTTTTTTCTGTATCGAATCAAACTTGTTTCCCTTTTTTTCTTTTTTTCTGTATCAAATAGAACTTGTTTCCCTTTTTTTTTTATGTATCGAATAGAACATTTTTCCCTTTTCTTTTTTTTTTTTTCTGTATCGAATAGAACTTGTTTCCCTTCTTTTTTTTTTATTTTCTGTATTGAATAAAACCTGTTTCCCCTTTCTTTTTTTTTTTTTTTTTTTCGATATCAAATATAACTTGTTTCCTTTTTTTCTTTTTTTCTCTGTATCAAATAGAACTTGTATTGTTTGCCTTTTTTTTTTTTTTTTTTTACAGAGAATTTTGATTTCCGGACACAGCTCCAGTTTTTTTGGCGCAGACCAGGAAATACAACCTCCGTGTTCTAGAAAAGAGTGTAGCGTGTTTCCTGCGTCTAGCAATGTTCCAATCCTACCCCCCCCTCCCTATTGCCCGATCCCTGCTGCTCATACACCTGTGATAGGCAGCTGCTGCCCTACAGTGTGCCTATAGCACCAAGGAGACGCTGCCACCTGCTGGATGACATCCAGATTGACATGGCAGCTTTTGCAGAGATGTATTACCCAGGGGCGGACTGACAACTCATGGGGCCCCCGGGCAATAGGGGATCATGGGGCCCCTGTGTCCTTGCCCAAACTCAAAAAAGTCTATGAAAAAGGTACCAGGGGCATCTCATGGGGCCCCCTACTGACCCCGGGCCCTCGGGCAGTGCCCGAGTTTCCAAATGGTCAGTCTGCCCCTGGTTACCCTTTCGCTGCTTCAACTTTTTTGCTTCTTTTTTGCCTCAAATCTGTGTGCCATAAAATCACAAAAAAATACTTTGGTACACAAATCTGTCCATCGATGACACTTTAAAACTGTCACGGGAACACACCTAATATGTGTACACTATGGCCTTGTATGTGGGGGGCTTTAAAAAAAAAAAAAAAAAAAAAGTCTGTTTTTTTATTTAACTTTCATTTTTTTTTTTTTATTTAGGCTCCATGTACACTAGTATTTTTTTTAAAGCTCCTAGAAGCTATTATCCACAGTTTTTTTTTTCTGCTTCTGTGTTCATGCATACTATTTTATACTATAGGCGTTTTTTCAAGCATTTGAGCATTTAGGAGCAGAGAAAAAAAATGCTTTTAGCAGTTTTTTTTTCCTGCCAAGAAAACACTCCAAAAAACACTACAGCTTTTTTTTTTTTGAGCATTTTTTTTTCTGCTCCTGTGTTCATCCACAGTATTTTATGCTATAGGCGTTTTCCAAAATTGAGCATTTAGGAGCAGAAAAAAAATGCTTTTAGCAGTTTTTTTTTTTTCTGGCAGGAAAACGCTCCTAAAAAAAAAACTACAAACGGTGTTAAAATGCTCCTAACCGCTTTGAGCATTTTTTTTTTTTGAGCATTTTTTTCTGCTCCTTTGTTCATGCATACTATTTTATGCTATAGGCGTTTTTCAAGGTTGAGCATTTAGGAGCAGAAAAAAATACTTTTAGCAGTTTTTTTTTCTGCCAGGAAAACGCTCCCAAAAAAACTAAAAACTGTGCTAAAATGCTCCTTTTTTTTTCTGCTCCTTTGTTCATGCACACTATTTTTTATTCTGTAGCCGTTTTCCAAGCTTGAGCATTTAGAAGAAGAAAAAATACTATTTTTTATTTTTGGAAGCATTTTCCTGGAAGGAAAGAAAAAAAAAAAGCCCCTAAAAGCTTTTTTTTTGTGGGCATTATTATATTAAAAGCTCTAACCCCTTGAGGGTTAGGGACTGATGTGAATGTACAATATATATGTAAAGCACTGCGTAAATTGACGGCGCTATATAAGTACCTGAAATAAATATTATTATTATTATTCAGGATTTATATATTATTATTATTATTCAGGATTTATATATTAATTTTATACAGGATTTATATATTATTATTATTATTATTATTATACAGGATTATATATTATTATTATTATACAGGATTTTTATATTATTATTCAGAGTTTATATATTATTATTATGCAGAATTTATATATTATTATTATTATACAGGATTTATATATTATTATTATTCAGGATTTTATATATTATTATGCAGGAGTTATATATTATTATTATTATTCAGGATTTTATATATATTATTATTATTATACATGATTTATATATTATTATTATACAGGATTTATATATTATTATTAATATTATACAGGATTTATATATTAATATTATACAGGATTTATATATTATTGTTATTATTCAGGATTTTATATATTATTATTATTATAATACAGGATTTATATATTATTATTCAGGATTTATATATTAATATTATACAGGATTTATATATTATTATTATTATTCAGGATTTATATATTATTATTAGACAGGATTTATATATTATTATTATTATTAGACAGGATTTTATATATTATTATTATTATTATATAGGGTTTATAAATATTATTATTATTATTAGACAGGATTTATTATAAAAATTATTATTATTAAAAGGATTTATATATTATTATTAAACAGGATTTATATATTAAAATTAGACAGGATTTATATATTAAATTATTAGACAGGATTTATATATTATTATTATTATTATTAGACAGGATTTATATATTATTATTATACAGGATTTATATATTATTATTATTATTAGACAGGATTTATATATTAATATTATACAGGATTTATATATTAATATTATACAGGATTTTTATATATTAATATTATACAGGATTTATATATTATTATTATTATACAGGATTTATATATTAATATTATACAGGATTTTATATATTATTATTATTATTATTATACAGGATTTATATATTATTATTATTATACAGGATTTATATATTATTATTATACAGGATTTATGGCACCAACAGTTTCAGCACTTTACAATATAACGGGAGACAATACAGCAACAATACAGTTCAATATAAAATAGATAAATAAACTGACAGAAAAACACTATTAGCTCTTTTTTCACCCAGCATTGCATAGCTGCACACAGAATATATATTTTTTTTTCCATCATGTATAGAATGCATGGAGGTCAAAAACCTTCAGCCTTTTCGGACCACTAAAAATAAGAAAAAATTAATATTATTTTATTTATTTCAGGTACTTATATAGCGCCGTCAATTTACGCAGCGCTTTACATATTTATATATTGTACATTCACATCAGTCCCCGTCCCCGAGGAGCATACAATCTAAGGTCCCTAACTCACATTCATACACACACATACTAGGGACAATTTAGACAGGAGCCAATTCACCTACCAGCATGTCTTTGGAGTGTGGGAGGAAACCGGAGCACCTGGAGGAAACCCACGCAGGCACAGGGAGAACATGCAAACTCCAGGCAGGTGGTGCTGTGGTTGGGATTTGAACCAACAACCTGAGTACTGCCAGGCGGAAGTGCTAACCACTCAGCCACTGTGCTGTCCTTGTGAAAATGATTTAGTGGGAGGGGCATACATTGTTTGGTTGGACTGTTCTGTTGGTTTATTGGCTGATGTAAGGGAAGAAGGTAAATCACGTGACCGGGTTGTATTTTGGGATTTCAGCTCCTCCTCATTTTTTGCAACAATTTCTTCCATTGGCAGGACATTGTGGGACTTGCAGTTCCTCAGCAGCACACTAGATGTTTGGTAGAAGTCGACCTGTCCGGGTTCAGAGCCTGTCCAGTAAATCGTCCTCTTCTGTTTGAGTCCATTGGTTGGTCGGTTTACTATATTCTTTTTTTTTTTTCTTCTTTTTTCTTTTTTTTTGACATCTTCAGCAAAAGCACATCGGTGAATACGGTCGGATCTTCAAGTCCCACTTCGGGCGGCAGTTTGTGGTGTCCATCGCCGATCGTGACATGATCGCTCAGGTCCTGCGTGCCGAGAGGGAGGCGCCGCAGAGAGCCAACATGGAGTCCTGGCAGGAATATCGAGACCTACGGGGGCGATCGACGGGCCTCATCTCTGCGTGAGTACCATGTGTAGGGTATTGGAGACCTCAAACCTGCCGTCCGTCAATCTGAGCTGAGCTTGACCCTTCAGCACTCAGGAATGGTAGAGGCGCCCACAGGGCCTTGGATAAGGGGGTACAACCAGTCCTCCACTACGGGGCCCAAACCAACAGGGGGGATGAATCGGATGTGGGCAGGGAGGGTGATCGGCATGGAAGGGGGGTTGGGAATTACTGGAACCGATCCCCTGTATAGCTCTCTCTGCAGCAGCTGAAGGCCGGCTTCTTCTCCTCCTCTCCCTCCCGTTGGGTTTCAGCTGCTGTAGTGGGAGCCATAGAGGGGATCAGTTCCAGTAATTGCCCCCCTGGTGCACCTATCACTCTCCCTGTGCATTATACGTTTTCCCCCTGCTGTTCTCGGTCCCCCCCCCACCCGTTAATGCTTCTTGGGGGTTTTTGGCATCTGTTTCCCAGTTTTCCAAGGCCAACTGGTCTTCTGAACATGTTTGTTCAGTTTTACCAGGTGGGTGTTCAGGCCTTGGCTGATGCCGGTACAGTTTTACCAGGTAAGTTTTCAGGCCTTGGCTGATGCCAGTACAGTTTTACCAGATGGGTGTTCAAGCCTTGGCTGATTCCAGTACAGTTTTACCAGGAGGGTGTTCAGGCCTTGGCTGATGCCAGTATTGGGTGTAAATTGCTTTAAGCCCATCTTGCCCATCTTTTTTGATCCATTGCTGTGTAAGCCAGTTGGCATTTCCTATGTTGCCCAGCCCTCAGTTGGACTGCTTTTGAATGCCCCAAGGTTAAGGTTGGGGCATGCAAGGTATTGGAAGAATTTACATGCCCCAGTCTCAAAAAGGTTGAGAACTATTGATCTAAGGCAGCGGTCTCAAAACTATGGCCCTCCAGGTGTTGAGGAACTGCAAGTCCCATGAGGCCCTGCAAGACTCTGACAGCCACAGGCAAGACTCCCAGAGGCAGAGGCATGATGGGACTTTCAGTACTTCAGCAGCTGGAGGGCAATAGTTTGGAAACCTCTGATCTAAGGGATAGGACTCCTTTGCTTGTTTTGGCACACTCTACCAGATCTGTTAGTGCTTCTTGGGGGTTTTTGGCATCTGTTTCCCAGTTTTTCAAGGCCAACTGGTCTTCTGAACATGTTTGTTCAGTTTTACCAGGTGGGTGTTCAGGCCTTGGCTGATGCCGGTACAGTTTTACCAGTTGGGTGTTCAGGCCTTGGCTTATGCCAGTACAGTTTACCAGGTAGGTGTTCAGGCCTTGGCTTATACCAGTACAGTTTACCAGGTAGGTGTTCAGGCCTTGGCTTATGCCAGTACAGTTTACCAGGTAGGTGTTCAGGTCTTGGCTTATGCCAGTACAGTTTACCAGGTATGTGTTCAGGCCTTGGCTTATGCCAGTACAGTTTGCCAGGTAGGTGTTCAGGCCTTGGCTTATGCCAGTACAGTTTACCAGGTAGGTGTTTAGGCCTTGGTTGATGCCAGTACATTTTTACCTGTTGGGTGTTCAGGCCTTGGCTGATGCCAGTATTGGGTGTAAATTGCTTCAAGCCCATCATGCCCATCTTTTTGATCCATTGCTGCATAAACCAGTTGGCATTTCCTATGTTGCCTTCCCCTCAGTTGGATGCTTTTGGGGGCCTCAAGGTTAAGGCTTGGGCCCCTGTGTTTTGTACTGTACAATTAGGAAAACATCATTTTTTCAACAGCTAGGACTGAGCCAGTGTGGCTGAAATGCGTAAGCGGGTTTGTGACAACAACTTTTATCTGATGTACCGATTTTGGAAGATCCTGCCGAGTTCCGACTTTTTGACACAAGGATTTCTGATTTGTGCCTGTAAAATAATACGGAACACCGGACCCTCCTTTCTGTTCCGTGGATATCTCATCAACCTGAGACTGAGCACCAGACTGTAGGTAGGCCCCCCTCCCTGGGGGGAGTCAAATAGCCTTTAGTTGAGACTGATGGTCCTGTATCCTCTACTGAACTCCTTAAAAAAAAAAAATAAATAAATAAATAAATACAAAGATTTACAGGCAAGTCAAAAATCTGTGTGTGGGGCTTTTTTTTGGAAGATTTCCTATAATAACCTTGGTGTGAAAAGAGGATGCAAGTGGTAAGAAAAATGTCCTCTATGATGTCCCTGACTATCTCTATCTTCTCTCTGCAGGGAAGGGAAGAAGTGGCTGGCCATGAGAAGCATCTTGCGGCAGAAAATCCTGCGACCCAGAGATGTGTTTGTGTACGCAGGGGGAGTGAACGAGGTGGTTGGTGACTTGGTCAAGAGGATCCGAACCCTCCGCAGCCGCGAGGACGACGGAGAAACTGTGACCAACGTCAATGACCTTTACTTCAAATATTCCATGGAAGGTTTGTAGATCGGTTTTGGGGTTCATTTCATGTTTCTTCTTTTTTTTATTTACTTATGAATTGCAGCATTCATTTATAATTTGTGTTTTTGATATCAAAATAATTCTGTTTTTTGTACCTCCCTCTCTCCTCATTGGTATCTTGTCTTCAAGTTGAGAGACGAAGGCCTCTTGCATCTGGTCCCTCAAAAAGGATGTGGGGTTTGTACACGGGATTTATGGTCCTCTGGAAACCTTCTTTATGAAAAGGAGGCCTCCAGATGTACCCCCCCCCCCCACCACCACCACCATCCACCAGAGTGTTTCCTTATCATATGACCATTATTACAGTTCTGATATGTTGAATAACAGGCTTTTGTTGAAAATGAGAGCCCTCAACTTGCAGATGAAGGTTGTCACCAGGGGCGGACTGACAACTCATGGGGCCCCCAGCAATAGGGGATCATGGGGCCCCTGTGTTCTTGCCCAAACTCAAAAAAGCCTATGAAAATGGTACCAGGGGCATCTCATGGGGCCCCCTACTGACCCCGGGCCCTCGGACATTTCCCAGAGTTTCCAAATGGTCAGTCCGCCCCTGGTTGTCACCTTTTTAGCCCAAATGAATACTTCATAATGGAGTATTTACAGCTGAAGTCCAGTTGTGGGAATGACTTCTCCCCTCGTCTTTGTTGGAGGGTCAGAGACCCAAACTACTGCGGGATCCTCGTTCTCCTGCAAGAGGCACAACAGAACAATCTGGTGATTTATTCAACTCATCAGTACCTATATAAAACGTAAAAAAGATACCACCTCCACCTAACATTTCAAAGAATAGTTTTCTTTCTGTAGGATTTTTTTTTTTCATTTTTAATTTTTTGCTTCCCTAGCTGTGGCCACCATATTGTACGAGTGTCGGCTGGGATGTCTACAGAACAAGGTGCCCAAGCAGACACTGGAGTACATGGAAGCTCTGGAGCTGATGTTCAGTATGTTCAAGACCACCATGTATGCTGGAGCCATTCCCAAGTGGCTTCGTCCATTCATTCCAAAACCCTGGGAGGAGTTCTGCCGCTCCTGGGATGGGCTCTTCAAGTTTAGTGAGTATATTGGTAGCTGTGCTGTGAATAGACACCTGTCTAGGCAAAAGGGGAACATGTAATTGTCACTGACCATATGAAAGGCGCTAGAAAGGTGGGATTAATGTGGTGTAAGAGTGTGATTGCAAATCTTTCCCTTTGCTCTTGCTTTTTTTTTTTTAAAGCTTTATAAACTTTATTTTTTTCCCGCATCAACACCTCTGTAGCTTTTTTGAATGAATATAAAGGCATCATAAACTTGCCTTTGGCAGTTTCCTTTTGCTCATATGGTCTCTCCCTTTTTCTGCTCATATGGTCTCTCCCTTTTTCTGCTCACATGGTCTCTCCCTTTTTCTGCTTGCGCTCGGTCTCTCCTTTTTTCTGCACGTGATCGGTCTCTCCCTTTTTTTCTGCATGCGCTCGGTCTCTCCCTTTTTTTTTTCTGCACGCGCTTGGTCTCTCCCTTTTTTCTGCACGCGATCGGTCTCTCCCTTTTTTTTCTGCACGCGATCGGTCTCTCCCTTTTTTTTCTGCACGCGCTTGGTCTCTCCCTTTTTTCTGCACGCGATCGGTCTCTCCCTTTTTTTCTGCTTTCGCTCGGTCTCTCCTTTTTTCTGCACGTGATCGGTCTCTCCCTTTTTTTTTGCACACGCTCGGTCTCTCCCTTTTTTCTGCACGTTCTCAGTCTCTCCCTTTTTCTGCATGCGCTCGGTCTCTCCCTTTTTTCTGCATGCGATCGGCCTCTCCCTTTTTTTCTGCACGCGCTTGGTCTCTCCCTTTTTTCTGCACACGCTCAGTCTCTTCCTTTTTTTCTGCACGTGCTCGGTCTCTCCCTTTTTTCCGCATGCGCTCTGTCTCTCCCTTTTTTCTGCACGTGCTCAGTCTCTTCCTTTTTTGAATGAATATAAAGGCATCATAAACTTGCCTTTGTCAGTTTCCCTTTGCTCATATGGTCTCTCCCTTTTTCTGCTCACATGGCTCTCTCCTTTTTTCTGCACGCGATCCGTCTTTCCCTTTTTTTCTGCACACGCTTGGTCTCCCTTTTTTTTCTGCACGCGATCGGTCTCTCCCTTTTTTTTCTGCACGCGCTTGGTCTCTCCTTTTTTTTTCTGCACGCGATCGGTCTCTCCCTTTTTTTCTGCTTGCGCTCGGTCTCTCCTTTTTTCTGCACGTGATCGGTCGTCTCTCCCTTTTTTTCTGCACGTGCTCGGTCTCTCCCTTTTTTCTGCACGCGTTCGGTCTCTCCCTTTTTTCTGCACGTGCTCGGTCTCTCCCTTTTTTCTGCACGCGCTTAGTCTCTCCCTTTTTTCTGCACACTCTCGGTCTCTCCTTTTCTGCACGCGCTTAGTCTCTCTCTTTTTTCTGCACGCGCTCGATCTCTCCCTTTTTTCTGCACACTCTCGGTCTCTCCATTTTTCTGCACGTGCTCTGTCTCTCCTCTCCTTTTTTTTTTTTCTCTGCTCCCGGTTGGTCTCTCCCCTCCTCTTTTTTTTTTTCTTTCTCTGCTCACGATCGTCTCTCTCTCCCCCTTTTTTTTTCTCTGCTCGGTCTCTTCCTTTTTAAATGTTTATAAACGTTTCTTTCCTGCATCAATATTTGTGTAGCTGATTCAACTTTTTAACTTGTTTTACTTGTGCTCGGTCTTTTTTTTTTTTTGCCTCCCGCTATGTCAAGAGATGCTCCTGAGATGCATACATTTATAATGCAGCAATTTTTTCTATGACTAATGATGTTTAAATATATAAAAAAGTGTTGCGCTAAGAGTGAACAACTTAAATAAACCGAAACAATAAATCAATACAGTACAAAGTGCACTATAAACAAGTGATAGCACGTGAGGTGCTCAAAGTCCACATATAAATATAATGCCAAAACAGTCATTGTGAATAAAAAGGAATTCTTGAATGTGCAAATAATTGATGAAAGTTCTTCATTCCGTCCCAGAATCGCCAGTGTGAATGGCCACCACCGTATTGGGCAAATCAAAGGCTTGCCAGATTCCCGGACCTCGTAACTACAGGAGGTTGGGTTAGGCTCAATACAAAATATGACTCCGTCAGACAGGTGGATTTTGCTGGGACCCAATGTTCTGCTCCAATGTGGTCCACCATTCCAGAATTACAGATCAGGGTTGGCTCATGAAACATAATAAAGAGGTGCCTCTCATAGTGCAGCAAGTTCAAACACACTTTATTAAGGCAGACAAGGTTACACTTACAACAGCACTGAAGTAACAGGCATCAATCGTTACACATGGGTGTTCCAAGATGGCGGACAACACGATGACATCAGAAGGGAGGCTCCACCCATCTGTAACGATTGATGCCTGTTAGTTCAGCTCTGTTGTAAATGTAACCTTGTTTGCCTAACAGGCATCAATTGTTACACATGGGTGGAGCCTCCCTTCTGACGTCATCGCGTTGTCCGCCATCTTGGAACACTCATGTGTAATGATTGATGCCTGTTCAGCGCTGTTGTAAGTTTAACCTTGCTTGCCTAACAGGCATCATTCGTTACACATGGGTGGAGCCTCCCTTCTGACGTCATTGCGTTGTCCGCCATCTTGGAACACTCATGTGTAATGATTGATGCCTGTTCAGCGCTGTTGTAAGTGTAACCTTGCTTGCCTAACAGGCTTCATTCGTTACACATGGGTGGAGCCTCCCTTCTGACGTCATCGCGTTGTCCGCCATCTTGGAACACTCATGTGTAATGATTGATGCCTGTTCAGCGCTGTTGTAAGTGTAACCTTGCTTGCCTAACAGGCATCAATCGTTACACATGGGTGGAGCCTCCCTTCTGACGTCATCGCGTTGTCCGCCATCTTGGAACACTCATGTGTAATGATTGATGCCTGTTCAGCGCTGTTGTAAGTGTAACCTTGCTTGCCTAACAGGCATCATTCGTTACACATGGGTGGAGCCTCCCTTCTGACGTCATCGCGTTGTCCGCCATCTTGGAACACTCATGTGTAATGATTGATGCTCAAGGACTTCCTATGTTTCAGCGCTGTTGTACAGTGTAACCTTGCTTGAAAAACAGCGCATGATCAATTACACATGGGTAGCCTCAGTTTCATTAATGTGCTAATAAAGTAAAATTATATATAAAAATATATTGTTATAAGTCCAGTGACAAAAAAGCAAAGTGACAAAAAATCAAAAAAATCAAAAAAAAACCCCAGAAAATATATATATATGTATATATGATATATATATATATAATTCAGTCCCTGACAAAATTAAATCAAATTAAATTATAATATATTTTTCCATTTGTTCTTCCGTGTTACTGATCCCTTCACCATCCACCAGTGCAGAAATCAACATTCGCACTCACCAGATAATGGTGGTCACACGCCTTTCAGGATTGTTAAGGTCATCGCGTTGTCCCCCTTTCTTGTCTGAGACACTCAAGTGCTGTTTCCTCTTATGTCTAGGTACCTCTTCTGCTTACTCCTCTCACCGAATCCCCCTGAAAATCAGAAAAGACCATAGCGTGTACCGCAGTAACCTTCTCCTCAAAATAATCTCTCCAGACCACTACATTCTTTTGCGGGGTATAAGCCCACTTTTTTATTCAAAACAACAGCGATTCTCTTCAAGAATGATCCACTTTTCATGTACACCGATTATACAAGGACCCCACAGTTTAGTGTGCAGCAGGATGGCAGACCTCAGCTACAGACTCTTCTACTTAGGCTAAGATGGCCCCTTGAACGCACCGCTCGGCGTGCGCTCCACTCACCGGAAATGACGTCAGACGACGGACCAGGCAACCGGAAGTGCGTCAACGCGTTTCGCCCCACCCACAGGGCGTTATCAAGACCCTTGATAACGCCCTGTGGGTGGGCGAAACGCGTTGACGCACTTCCGGTTGCCTGGTCCGTCGTCTGACGTCATTTCCGTGATGTGGAGCGCACGCCGAGCGGTGCGTTCCAAGGGGCCATCTTGCCTAAGTAGAAGCAGTCTGTTACAGCATGAGGTCTGCCATCCTGCTGCACACTAAATGTGGGGTCCTTGTATAATCGGTGTACATGAAAAGTGGATCATTCTTGAAGAGAATCGCTGTTGTTTTGAATAAAAAGTGGGCTATACCCCGCAAAAGAATGTGAGTGGTCTGGAGAGATTATTTTGTTGGTATCACGCTATGGTCTTTTCTTCTTCCTGATTTTCCTTTGGGGGATTCGGTGAGAGGAGTAAGCAGAAGAGGTACCTAGACATAAGAGGAAACAGCACTTGGAGGTCTCAGACAAAGTAAAGGGGGTCCAGGAGCCCTTAACAATCCTGAAAGGCGTGTGACTCACCATTATCTGGTGAGTGCGGTTAATGTTGATTTCTGCACTGGTGGATGGTGAAGGGATCAGTAACACGGAAGAATCAAATGGAAAATATATTATAATTTAATTTGATTTAATTTTGTCACGGGACTGTAATTATATATATATATATATATATATATATATATATATATTTTTCTGGGTTTTTTTTTTTTGATTTTTTTGATTTTTTGTCACTTTGCTTTTTTGTCACTGGACTTATAATTTTAAATTTTTTATATCAATATATTTTATATATAATTTACTTTATTAGCACATTAATGTTTTTTTAAACTGAGTAATGTAATTGATCATGTGGGTTTGCGCTGGTTTTCATTGTTAAATGTTACATGTGTAATGATGATGCCTGTTCAGCTCTGTCGTAAATGTAACCTTGTTTGCCTAATAGGCATCATTGTTACACATGGGTGGAGCCTCCCTTCTGACGTCATCGCGTTGTCCACCATCTTGGAACACTCATGTGTAATGATTGATGTCTGTTCAGCACTGTTGTAAGCAGGGGCGGACTGACCATTTGGAAACTCGGGCACTGCCCGAGGGCCCGGGGTCAGTAGGGGGCCCCAAGAGATGCCCCTGGTACCTTTTTCATAGGCTTTTTTGAGTTTGGGCAAGGACACGGGGGCCCCATGATCCCCTATTGCCTGGGGGCCCCATGACTTGTCAGTCCACCCCTGGTTGTAAGTGTAACCTTGCTTGCCTAACAGGCATCAATCGTTACACATGGGTGGAGCCTCCCTTCTGACGTCATCGTGTTGTCCGCCATCTTGGAACACCCATGTGTAACGATTGATGCCTGTTAGTTCAGCGCTGTTGCTGTTATTTAAGTTGTTCATTCTTAGCGCAACACTTGTTTTTAATACATTTACTAATTGAGAAGAGGATATCCTTCTTTCTGGCGTGTTTGCTGCTTTGTATGATTGTGGACGTGTGACATTTTTGCGCAGTTTTTTATTTGATTTTATTTTAATGATCCTTACCCCCGGTTCACATCTATGCGGCCGTGCGGGCTGCATTTTGCATGGGCACAAGAGCCCATTCATTTGAATGGACTCCCGTGTCCGTGGCACATAGGGAAAGAAGTCCCTGCGCTACTTTGAAAAACGCAGCCGAGGTTCACAGTACGGTTGCGTTTTCCAGTGCGGTCGGCGTGCCATTAGAACTAACGGCACCGGCCCGCGGGTCCGCATCTCTCTGTGCGGGTGGTGCACAGATTTTCGTGCGGATCCACAGTGGCACCTCCCGCAGAGATGTGAACCGGGGGTAAAGTGTGCTCTCCCAAAAATTTAACACGTTCTATTTTCTGTTACTTGAAACCAGGGGCGGACTGACCATTTGGAAACTCGGGTACTGCCCGAGGGCCCGGGGTCAGTAGGGGGCCCCATGAGATGCCCCTGGTACCTTTTTCATAAGCTTTTTTGAGTTTGGGCAAGGACACAGGGGCCCCATGATCCCCTATTGCCTGGGGGCCCCATGAGTTGTCAGTCCGCCCCTGCTTGAGACAATGGGTTTGGATCACACACCGGGATATTTCCCCCCCCCCAAAAAAAAAAAGTACAGGATTTCTTCTGCGGAGTCTAATATGATTTGAAAATTTATAGTCGCATAGCTGCTGCCGGCTGTTATATTTTTATATTGCGTTCCATTAGAAATGTTCACGATTTATTTCACGCCATTTGATGAAACCGCAGGTCAGATCCACGTGGACAACAAGCTGCGGGAGATTCAGGCGCGTCTAGATCGCGGAGAGGAGGTGAAAGGTGGCCTCTTGACATCCATTCTGATCAGCAAGGAACTGACGCTGGAGGAGCTGTACGCTAATATGACGGAGATGCTCTTGGCGGGTGTGGACACGGTAAGAAGGAACCTCCATTTCAGGCTCCACCCACACGGGGCGTTCTGATAACGCTGGTAATGTTAGCTGTGTAAAGTCACGTTGAAAACCTGAGATTTTTAGTGTTTTTTGCATTAGCGTTTAGCGGAGTTTTGCCACGTTTGCATTATTGTAGCGTTTTTTTAACAAAATATTACTTTTTTTTTTCTGGTCAAAAAAAGTCCAAAAACGCTGGTTTGTGGTGGTTTGCTGCGTTTTTCAGCGAAGAAAAAAATGTCAAAAGCCAAAACCAGTCTCTGTAAAGAAATCTAGTGTGCATGAGGACTTAGTCGTCATGCACACTGGCCTTAGTCCACATGCACACGGGACGTTTTTGCAGCGCCTGTTTTTGGCTTTTGACGGTTTCTTTTCTACAGGCAGTAACCCCCCAGCATGTTATCCTATGTGTCCATCCCCGGCATGTTATCCTGTGTCCATCCCCGGCGTGTTCTCCTATGTGTCCATCCACGGCGTGTTATCCTATGTGTCCATCCCCGGCATGTTATCCTGTGTGTCCATCCCCGGCATGTTATCCTGTGTGTCCATCCCCGGCATGTTATCCTGTGTGTTCATCCCCGGCATGTTATCCTATGTGTCCATCCCCAGCGTGTTATCCTATGTGTTCATCCCCGGCATGTTATCCTATGTGTCCATCCCCGGCATGTTATCCTATGTGTCCATCCCCGGCATGTTATCCTATGTGTTCATCCCCAGCATGTTATCCTATGTGTCCATCCCCAGCGTGTTATCCTATGTGTCCATCCCCGGCGTGTTATCCTATGTGTCCATCCCCGGCGTGTTATCCTATGTGTCCATCCCCGGCGTGTTATCCTATGTGTCCATCCCCGGCGTGTTATCCTATGTGTCCATCCCCGTCATGTTATCCTATGTGTCCATCCCCGGCGTCTTATCCTATGTGTCCATCCCCAGCATGTTATCCTATGTGTCCATCCCCGGCATGTTATCCTATGTGTCCATCCCCGGGCGTGTTATCCTACGTGTCCATCCCCGGCATGTTATCCTATGTGTCCATCCCCGGCATGTTATCCTACGTGTCCATCCCCGGCATGTTATCCTATGTGTCCATCCCCAGCATGTTATCCTATGTGTCCATCCCCGGCATGTTATCCTACGTGTCCATCCCCGGCATGTTATCCTATGTGTCCATCCCCGGCATGTTATCCTGTGTGTCCATCCCCGGCGTGTTATCCTACGTGTCCATCCCCGGCATGTTATCCTATGTGTCCATCCCCAGCATGTTATCCTATGTGTCCATCCCCGGCATGTTATCCTACGTGTCCATCCCCGGCATGTTATCCTATGTGTCCATCCCCAGCATGTTATCCTATGTGTCCATCCCCGGCATGTTATCCTATGTGTCCATCCCCGGCATGTTATCCTATGTGTCCATCCCCCTATCCTGTGTCCATCCCTAGCGTGTTATCCTATGTGTCCATCCCCGGCGTGTTATCCTATGTGTCCATCCCCGGCATGTTATCCTATGTGTCCATCCACACATAGACTAGAATCAACGTTTTTTGGCTGAAAAAAAACCCAGAACTAGTAAGTTTCTAGAGGATTTGTTTAGCTGTAAAAACGCTCTAACACCCCACATGGAAGAAAAATATATTTGAAATACTAAAATTTTGGCCGTATTCAATATATTTCAATTCCCCCTGAAGTCATCACAGAGGACAAGGGGGCCTCTATACGTCTGGAGGAAAAGAAATGTAATCTCCAAACACGGAAAGGTTTCTTCACAGTGAGAGCTGTGAGAATGTGGAATAGACTCCCTCAATAGTTGGTTGTGGCCAGCTCAGTGGATTGCTGTAGGAAAGTCCTGGATTCTTTATTGGATACACAGAATATAACTGGATATAACATTTATAGGGAAAGTTGATCCAGGGAATATCCGATTGCCTCTCTGGGGATCAGGAAGGAATTTTTTTCCCAGCAGGAGCAAATTGGATTGTGCTTTGCTGGGTTTTTTTGCCTTCCTCTGGATCAACTCTGGGTGTAGGATTATAACTTTTTTTTTTTTCTATGGTTGAACTGGATGGACTTCTGTCTTTTTTCAGCCAGACTAACTATGTAACTATGTATATATATATATATATATATATATATATATATATATGTATATATGTGTGTGTACCTAACAGCCGCTGCCCTTCCCTCCTCCCACCACTCCATCCCCCACAGCCATTTCCTCCTGTACCTCTACCCCCTCCCTCCTAGATTGTAAGCTCGAAAGAGTAGGGCCCTCTTACCCCTTGTGTGCTGTTTGTTGTTACTGTACTGTTTCATGTATTGTCCCCCCCCCCCTCTATTGTACAGCGCTGAGCAAACCCTTTGGCGCTATATAAACTCGATAAAATAAATAAATAAAATAAATATATACTGCATGTTGAAATGCGTTTTTATTACAAAATATATGAAAAACATTTTTTAAAATGCATTTCAAATATACTGTATATCTTTAAAAATACAAATCTACTTTTTTGGAATGCATTTACAAATATAATATATATATATATATATATATATATATATAGTATATTATATATACACACACTGCATGTTGAAATGCGTTTTTTTATATATTACAAAATATATTAAAAATATTTTTAAAAGTTATATATTAAATATATTGTTCAGATTTGTTTTAACATATGAAAAAGTCATTTTGACATGTATTTTTACATAGATTTGTATATGCCTTCCAAAAATGTAGATTTGTATTTTTAAAGACATACAGTATATTTGAAATGTATTTTTAAAAAATATTTTTCATATTTTGTAATAACGCATTTCAACATACAGTATATATATATATTGAATACGGCCAAAATTGTAGTATTTCAAATATATGTCAATATATTTGGAAAGAATATTTTTCAAATATATTTTTCTTCCATATGGAACTGGTTTTTGGATGTGGTTTTTGTTTGTTTGTTTCTTACCAAAGAAAACCTTTTTTTTGGTAAAAATCAACGCTAAAAAACGCGGCTAAACACGAATTCAAAAATGGTTGAAAAAAAAGCTGAAAAACTCTATGTTTTTAATGTTACCAGCGTTATGAAAACACCCCATGTGCATGAGGGGTAATGCTTCAACCTTTCTCATTGACTCCTTTCTGCCAGAATTGAAAACTGCAAAACTGAGAAGTGCTGAAGCAAAGTGGGACCAACCTAGCATGGAATGCATGTGGTGGCGCTTTAGGGCCATCTAATGGTGAATGTTGAAATTGCGGCACAACATTTTTTTTTCTTTGTACTGTAAATTCTCCACCAATCACATTCACTGGTTTGACTTCCTTCAGTCAGAATTAATTTTATGTTTTTGCCTCCAGAAGCACAAAATTTTACCATTTTCTTGTTCAACTGTTTACTTTTTTTAACTTGCTGTTCTCGTTGCTTAAAGGGAAAGTTCATATTCCACCCGCAAAAGTGTTTACCTGAATGTAACTTTTTTTGTTACTTTTCCCATTTTTACATGTTTGCTCTTTCATGTTTTTGTGTACTTTTTTTGTTTTTTCAGACCTCTTTCACGATGTCCTGGGCCACCTACCTTCTGGCGAAGAACCCTGAGGCGCAGCATATGGTATACAATCAGATCGTCCGGAATCTCGGGAAGGACACGGTCCCCACTGCGGAAGATGTGCCGAAACTTCCTCTAATCAGAGCTGTTCTGAAGGAGACCCTGAGGTATACTGATCATGAGCCATCTTCTACGCACTGTTGTAGGTATAATGTACTGTAGGTACCTGGATGGTGGGAGGGAGGTAAGTATATCATGTAAAGAACACTTACCTTAGTGGGGTCCTGTCCTGGGATCTCCTCTCCCTGCGAGCTTTAGGTCCGGATGCTCTGCTCTGAACTGAAGGAGTCGGGCTTGTAGACGTCTACGTCTTGGGCTACTTCCCATTCAGGGGCAGACTGACAACTCACGGGGCCCCTGGGCAATAGGGGATCATGGGGCCCCTGTGTCCTTGCCCACACTCAAAGCACACCCAAAAAAGCCTATAAAAGGTACCATGATATATATATACAGTATATGATGCTGGATCTCTATACTGACATGGGCGGGGTAATGTGTTAGGAATGTAAGGACACCCCATCGTTTGATGGAAATGAAATTGATCGACCTACAGAGGACTGAATTCAAAGACCCCGAAAATCAAAGAATAAATGATGCAGCAGGCGAGTCCATTTTGCTGAAATGTTATTGAAGCAACTCAGAATGGTCCTCAGTAGTCCGTGTGGCCCCCACGTGCTTGTATGCATGCCTGACAACGTTGGGGGAAGCTCCTAATGAGACCACGGATGGTGTCCTGGGGGATTTCCTCCCAGATCTGGACCAGGGCATCACTGAGCTCCTGGACAGTCTGAGGTGCAACCTGGCGGCGTCGGATGGACCGAAACATGACATCCCAGAGGTGTTCTATTGGATTTAGGTCAGGCGAGCGTGGGGGCCGTTCAATGGTATCAATTCCTTCATCCTCCAGGACTGCCTGCATACTCTCCCCACATGAGGCTGGGCATTGTTGTGTACCAGGAGGAACCCAGGACCCACTGCACCAGGAGGAACCCAGGACCCACTGCACCAGGAGGAAGCCCAGGACCCACTGCACCAGGAGGAGCCCAGGACCCAACTGCACCAGGAGGAGCCCAGGACCCACTGCACCAGGAGGAGCCCGGGACCCACTGCACCAGGAGGAACCCGGGACCCACTGCACCAGGAGGAACCCAGGACCCACTGCACCAGGAGGAACCCAGGACCCACTGCACCAGGAGGAGCCCAGGACCCCCTTGCACCAGCGTAGGGTCTGACAATGGGTCCAAGGATTTCATCTTGATACCTAATGGCAGTCAGGGTGCCATTGTCTAGCCTGTAGAGGTCTGTGCGTCCCTCCATGGATATGCCTCCCCAGACCATCACTGACCCACCACCAAAACGGTCATGCTGAACCATGTTATAGGCAGCAGAATGTTCTCCACGGCTTCTCCAGACCCTTTCACGTGTGTCACATGTGCTCAGGGGGAACCTGCTCTCATCTGTGAAAAGCACAGGGTGCCAGTGGTGGACCTGCCAATTCTGGTGTTCAATGGCAAATGCCAATCCAGCTCTACGGTGCTGGGCAGTGAGCACAGGGCCCACTAGAGGACAAGAACCGGAAAAACTTACATACTCCTGTGCTTGGAGAGTAGACCCAAAAAGGGTTAATGGACTGCAGTCAAGTCTTAGCCCTCATGCGTTGCACTCGCCTTGCTGACCTCAAGACTGGGGGAGTCTACAGACACTGCAATAATAAATAAACAGAGGGCGCACTGGCCTAGTGCATTATCCTTTAAAAAATAGCTTTTAATTTATAAAATGGTAAGTATTATACTCACAAAATAGATAAAGGTACATGATCATCTCATGAAAGCAGCAAACTACAATCTGCAAAACATCACGATGTGACAGAACGATGGAATCTCAACAGCCTGACGCGTTTCGAAGGACCTAGCCTCTTCCTCAGAGTCCACCAAGAAGATAAGTCCTCAAAACGCGTCAGCTGTTGAGATTCCATCGTTCTGTCACATCGTGATGTTTTGCAGATTGTAGTTTGCTGCTTTCATGAGATGATCATGTACCTTTATCTATTTTGTGAGTATAATACTTACCATTTTAAATTAAAAATTTTTTAAAGGATAATGCACTAGGCCAGTGCGCCCTCTGTTTATTTATTATTGCAGTGTCTGTAGACTCCCCCAGTCTTGAGGTCAGTCTTCTCCGCGGCTTCTCCAGACCCTTTCATGTCTGTCACATGTGCTCAGGGGGAACCTGCTCTCATCTGTGAAAAGCACAGGGTGCCAGTGGTGGACCTGCCAATTCTGGTGTTCAATGGCAAATGCCAATCAGCTCTATGGTGCCGGGCAGTGAGCACAGGGCCCACTAGAGGACGTCGGGCCCTCAGGCCACCCTCATGAAGTCTGTTTCTGATTGTTTGGTCAGAGACATTCACACCAGTGGCCTGCTGGAGGTCATTTTGTAGGGCTCTGGCAGGGCTCATCCTGTTCCTCCTTGCACAAAGGAGCAGATACCGGTCCTGCTGATGGGTTAGGGACCTTCTACGACCCTGTCCAGATCTCCTAGAGTAACTGCCTGTCTCCTGGAATCTCCTCCATGCTCTTGAGTCTGTGCTGGGAGACACAGCAAACCTTCTGGAAATGGCAGGTATTGATGTGCCATCCTGGAGGAGTTGGACTGCTTGTGCAACCTCTGTAGGGTCCAGGTATGGCCTCATGCTACCAGTAGTGACACTGACCCTAGCCAAATGCAAATCTAGTGAAAAACAGTCAGAAAAGATGAGCAGGGAAAAAATGTCAGTGGCCTTCACCCATAAAACCATTCCTGTTTTGGGGGTTGTCTCATTGTTGCCCATCTAGTGCATCTGTTGTTAATTTCATTATCACCAAAGCAGCTGAAACTAATTACCAACACCCCTCTGCTACTTACCTGACCAGATCAATATCCCAGGAGTATCATTGACTTGATGCCAGACTCGGATTAAAAAGTGATCCTTTAATTTTCTTGGGGTGTGTGTATGTATGGGTGTCACCCATCCTCTGGAACTCCCTGCCCCAACCCATCAGATTATCACCTACTCTCCTCTCCTTTAGGCGCACCCTGAAAACCCATCTCTTCAGGGAAGCCTACCCCACCCCCTGCTAACTTGACGACCTCCTCCACTCTTCCTACCACCCCATCCCCCACAGCTATCTCCTCCTGTGCCACCATCCCTCCCTCCTAGATTGTAAGCTCGAAAGAGCAGGGCCCTCGATCCCCTCATGTTTTGCATTGTATTGTTATTGTTCTGTCATATGTTCTGTCCCCCTTTGTAATGTACAGCGCTGAGCGAACCATTGGCGCTTTATAAATACTGTATAATAATAATAATAATAATGTAATGTACCGGTATATATATAATTTTGTTTTCGTCGTTTTACAAAATATTTTGGTTTGTTTAGTACATTTATTCTATTGGGTCAATTTAATACTCAGAATTTTTTTTCATTTTATTAATATTTTTTGTTTTGTTTTTATTTTAATGGTTTTACGATTGTAAAATCAGATTATTTAATCTATGGTTCATGTTATACACATACCAGTTACAACATTTTTACCAGGATTTTTTTCTTTTATATATTATTAGGTTAACCTATCACCCTGAATGTCTCATTTTTAATTATTATTATTATTATATTTAAAAAAAAAAAAAACATTTTCTGATATAGTTTAGTACTCAAGGTCTCATTTTTGTATATTAATGTACACACTATTTGGTTTTAATTCTGCCCCTGTGGATGTTATACTATATTGATATCAGATTGATATGGAGATCTTCCTAGGTTCTTTCTAGCCCTGATGAAGGGGGTGCTTTGACCTCGAAACATGGTGGCTACTTTTTGGATTGTACCCTTTGTTTTATTTATTTATTTATTTATTAATGGAATCAAGTTTTATCTGGTTTGCTTAGCAGTGGTGTGGTGCTTCAGTTTGAATTCTTAGCGCACAACATATCAGCATCACCTCCCTCTGTATTCCTCATAATGTTGCTTGCCTCCAGCCATCACTGGGAGCCAAAAACAGGAACTAGCCATCCCAGCTGCCTCAGCTTGTTAGCTGTGGTACCTGGCGCCTGTGCACTGAAGGGGGCGCCCTGTCCCAAATCATAGCTAACATTACAGGGCACCTAGGAAGGTGGGACAAAGTACTACATGTGCTTCCTCCCATCAGGAATTGAATACTGTAAAAATAAATAAATAAATAAATAAAAAATAAATAAATAATAATAATAATAAAAAAAAAAAATATAATATATATATATATATATATATATATATATATATATATATATATATAATATTCTTTAAGAACTCGTGTTCAGAGTACAGTTCTACTTTAAATAATTGTGTGTTCCACTCATCTATCTTCTGTGTTCTATTGGTAGGCTGTTTCCAGTGTTACCCGGGAATGGTCGGGTCACCCAGGATGATTTGGTTTTGGGAGGATATTTAATACCAAAAGGGGTAAGTTGTAACTACAGCTCTGTGGTCTCTGACACATTGGGGTCAGTTTATAAAATATTAGCATATAAATGTCTGAAAGTAAGAAAAAATATCACATTTTGGCCACAGCAATTAATCTATTAGAAAACATATACAGTGATTTTTTTTTTTTTTTTTCCATCTCGCATGAATGTTTCAACAAATGTTTTATAAATGGGCCACTTGGTGACCAATGAATAAAAATGATCCCATCACACTTCTTTGCTCTGGGGGGGCAGGGGAAAGGGGTCGTATTAGGAGTCCAGAACAGTTGTGTGTGTTTGTTTTTCTGGGAAATGTTTTTATTCTTTGTGTTTTTTATATACTTTTTTTAATTTTTATTTTATATACTTCTGATTATTTACTACTACTATTTTCCATATATTTTAATATGTTATATTTTATATACTTTTATAATAATATTATTGTTATTATTAATGGCGTATATAAAATTTTTATACTAAATTAAATGGAAGTATATATAAATTGATAATAATGAAAGTAGATAAAATATTTACAATAAAACATATGGAAGTATATATAAATTGATAATAAGGGAAGTATATACAAATGAATAATAATGGAATTATATAAAATATTTATAATAAAAACATATGGAAGTATGTATAAATTGATAATAATGGAATTATATAAAATATTTACAATAAAACATATGGAAGTATGTATAAATATGATAATATGGAAGTATATACAAATTAAAATAATGGAAGTATATAAAATATTTATAATAAAACATATGGAAGTATATACAAATTAATAATAATGGAAGTATATAAAATAATAATAATAATGGAAGTATATAAAATATTTATGATAAAACATATGAAGTATATATAAATTAATAATAAGGGAAGTATATACAAATTAATAATAATAATGGAATTATATAAAATATTTATGATAAAACATATGAAGTATATATAAATTGATAATAATGGAATTATATAAAATATTTACAATAAAAAACATATGGAAGTATATATAAATTGCTAATAATGGAAGTATATACAAATGAATAATAATGGAAGTAGATAAAATATTTACAATAAAACATATGGAAGTATATATAAATTGATAATAATGGAAGTATATACAAATTAATAATAATAAAATTATATAAAATATTTATAATAAAACATATGCAAGTATATATAAATTGATAATAATGGAAGTATATACAAATTAATTATAATGGAATTATATAAAATATTTATAATAAAACATATGGAAGTATATATAAATTGATAATAATGGAAGTATATACAAATGAATAATAATGGAATTATATAAAATATTTATAATAAAATATATGGAAGTATATACAAAATAATAATAATAATAATAATTGTAATAATATATAAAATATAATTTAAAATAAATTATATGGAAGTATATAAATATACTTCCATTTTTTACATTTTTATTAATGAATAGTAATTATTTTATTATTAATTATTTATTTCTCCACATGTGTATCTGTCTCCCTGATCAGACTCAGCTGGCATTGTGTCATTACTCCACATCGTACAACCAGGAATATTTCTCGGCAGCAGAAGACTTCCGTCTGGAACGCTGGCTGCGGCACGGACTCCTGGACAGAGTTGAGAACTTTGGTTCCATTCCCTTCGGATACGGAATCCGCAGCTGTATCGGGAGGAGAGTCGCTGAGCTGGAGATCCACCTGGCTCTAATTCAGGTAAAGGTGGATTATAAAAAAGGGAAATCCATGGAATTCCTACCCCCTCCCCCTCCCCATTCTCTGTTCTTCTCCAAGCTGCAACTGGTTAATTATTAAATTATTATTTTTTATTTTAAAAAAAAAAAAAATATATATATATATATATATATATATATATATATACACTGCTCAAAAAATTAAAGGAAGTCTAGCATCAAGTCAATGAAACTCCTGGGATATTGATCTGGTCAGGTAAGTAGCAGAGGGGGGTGGTAATCAGTTTCAGCTGCTTTTGGTGTCAATGAAATTAACAACAGGTGCACTAGATGAGCAACAATGAGACAACCCCCAAAACAGGAATGGTTTTACAGGTGGAGGCCACTGACATTTTTTCCCTACTCGTCTTTTCTGACTGTTTTTACTCGTTTTGCATTTGGCTAGGGTCAGTGTCACTACTGGTAGCATGAGGCCATACCTGGACCCTACAGAGGTTGCACAGCCAGTCCAACTCCTCCAGGATGGCACATCAATACGTGTCATTGCCAGAAGGTTTGCTGTGTCTCCCAGCACAGTCTCAAGAGCATGGAGGAGGTTCCAGGAGACAGGCAGTTACTCTAGGAGAGCTGGACAGGGCCTTAGAAGGTCCTTAACCCATCCGCAGGACCGGTATCTGCTCCTTTGTGCAAGGAGGAACAGGAACAGGATTGTAGGGCCAGAGCCCTACAAAATGACCTCCAGCAGGCCACTGGTGTGAATGTCTCTGGCCAATCAGAAACAGACTTCATGAGGGTGGCCTGAGGGCCCGACGTCCTCTAGTGGGCCCTGTGCTCACTGCCCAGCACCATAGAGCTGGATTGGCATTGGCCATTGAACACCAGAATTGGCAGGTCCACCACTGGCACCCTGTGCTTTTCACAGATGAGAGCAGGTTCACCCTGAGCACATGTGACAGACGTGAAAGGGTCTGGAGAAGCCGTGGAGATTTGTTCTGCTGCCTGTAACATCGTTCACCATGACCGTTTTGGTGGTGGGTCAGTGATGGTCTGGGGAGGCATATCCATGGAGGGACACACAGACCTCTACAGGCTAGACAATGGCACCCTGACTGCCATTAGGTATTGGGATAAAATCCTTGGACCCATTGTCAGATCCTACACTGGTGCAGTGGGTCCTGGGTTCCTCCTGGTGCAGTGGGTCCTGGGTTCCTCCTGGTGCACAACAATGCCCGGCCTCATGTGGGGAGAGTATGCAGGCAGTTCCTGGAGGATGAAGGAATTGATACCATTGAATGGCCCCCACGCTCACCTGACCAAAATCCAATAGAACACCTCTGGGAGTTCATGTTTCAGTCCATCTGACGCTGCCAGGTTGCACCTCAGACTGTCCAGGAGCTCAATGATGCCCTGGTACAGATCTGGGAGGAAATCCCCCAGGACACCATCCGTGGTCTCATTAGGACCCTCCCCCGACGTTGTGAGCCATGCATACAAGCACGTGGGGGCCACACAGACTACTGAGGACCATTCTGAGTTGCTGCAATGACATTTCAGCAGAATGGACTCGCCTGCTGCATCATTTTCTCACTTTGATTTTCGGGATGTCTTTGAATTCAGTCCTCTGTAGGTCGATCATTTTCATTTCCATCAAACGATGGGCCGTCCTTATGTTCCTAACACATCACCCCGTCCATGTCAGTGTAGAGATCCAGCAGGAGATTTGTCCCCATTGAGATCTGATGTGTTTTCAAAGTGTTCCTTTCATAAATTTGTTTTTCCATTAGCATGTTGATGAGGTGGGGAGACCCAGGGTTGGTGTTTGGTTTTTAATTATTTTTTTTTTTCCCCTATTACAGTTGCTTCAGAATTTTGAGTTCAAGACTTCACCCAAGACTCAGACTGTTCTCCCAAAAACACACGGACTTCTGTGCCCCTCAGGGGCCATTAATGTGCGCTTTGTGGAACGGGAGTGACACACAAAAGAACAGTGTTTCAGGTCTCTGGTATCTACTGAAGGACCCCAACACTTTATGAAGACTTCTTCTTCCTTATTTAGAATTGTTCTGAGGTCCGCTTGGCTTGTACGGGAAGTTCTGTCTATGAAGTAGGTCTAGGGGTAGGTTGTGGAATGCAACGTTCTACCTTGCACTTTTTCTTGCACTGTATGAATAAGAGATGGACTGAAGGAGAAGAGGAAACGGCTTGAACACTGGAACCTCCAACTTTGCGTATCTGGAGGAGCTTCTGAAGGATGGTTTGTGGAGTCCAAGGGCTCATGGTTGCCTGGTCGGGGGAGCTGGGACTTGTGGTTCCTTCACATCTCTAGTGCCAAAGGCCGCTCTTTGCTCTTAATCTTAACACTGTGCCTTAACACTTTTTTTACTGGATTTTAATAGGTCTGTTTTGGATGGATGATTGTAGGTTTTAGTCCACAGCATTATTTTTTTTTTTATGTTTTTAGGTTTATATTTTGGAGAATACTCTCTTTGGGAGCTCTTATTGGCTTGGTGCAATTACCCAGCGGTATGCATCCGTTACAGACTGTGTTTTTACATGCTGGCTCTTCAACATATGAGACTCATCCATTTACAACCAGATGAGCTCTCCTTGGCTTGGTGCAATTACCCAGTGACACCCAACAGTTGGCGACTTTTGCATTTTTACATGCTGTCCCTTTTGACCTATTTGAGATTCAAAGATTTGCCACCAGAGGGCGCTCTCCTTGGCTTGGTGCAATTACCCAGTGACACCCAACAGTTGGCGACTTTTGCATTTTTACATGCTGTCCCTTTTCACCTATTTGAGATTCAAAGATTTGCCACCAGAGGGAGCTCTTATTGGCCGGGTGCAATTACCCAGTGACACCCAAGAGTTGGCGACCTTTGCATTTTTACATGCTGTCCCTTTCGACCTATTTGAGATTCAAAGATTTGCCACCAGAGGGCGCTCTCCTTGGCTTGGTGCAATTACCCGGTGACACCCAAGAGTTGACGACCTTTGCATTTTTACATGCTGTCCTTTTTGGAATTTAAAGATTTGCCACCAGAGGGCGCTCTCATTGCCTTGGTGCAATTACCTAGTGACACCCAACAGTTGGCGACCTTTGCATTTTTACATGCTGTCCTTTTTGACCTATTTGAGATTCAAAGATTTGCCACCAGCGGGCGCTCTCCTTGGCTTGGTGCAATTACCCAGTGACACCCAACAGTTGGCGACGTTTGCATTTTTACATGCTGTCCCATCTGACCTATTTGGGTTTCAAAGATTTGCACCAGAGGGAGCTCTCATTGGCCGGGTGCAATTACTTAGTGGCTTGTAACAGTCCCCGAAAGAAACAACTGGTCACCCCAAAAAATTCATTGCTTTCAATAGGTTGGCCAGCTTGAGAGAATAGTATGGTGGGAAGGGGCAGTAAAGCACAAGTGCTGTGCAGCACTGAAAAGCAGGACTCTTATGCAGGCCATACATGATTCGAATTCTGAGTTTTTTTTGTCCGAAAACGTACACCGATGGCGCCATCAATGATTTCGAAAATCGGCCGACCGAGTCATAAAGTTCACCCCATATAACACGCAAAACTTTAGTTCCTTCCAGGTCACGGCTCATGGCGAATATTCTTTTTGGAAAAACGATCGTACGATTTGACCATCATGGAGTCGAAGATCGGTTGTTTTTCATGAATTTTCCAACATACCTGATCACAGAAAAGGGAGGAACCATGAAAAATCGTCCGGTGCCATTTACCCACTAACAGAGCGAATATCGGCCGATTATTTTAAGTCTGATTTTCGGACGAAAAATCGGTCAAATTTCAACCCATGTATGGCCGGCCATAGGGGGGGATTTACTAAAACTGGAGAGTGCAAAATCTGTTGCAGCTGTGCATAGTAGCCAATCAGCTTCTGACTTGAGCTTGTTCAGTTAGTCCTCATGCACACGGGACGCTTTTACAGCGGCTGTTTTTGGCTTTTGATGGTTTTTTTTCTACAGCCAGTAACCCCCCAGCATGTTATCCTATGTGTCCATCCCCAGCATGTTATCCTATGTGTCCATCCCCGGCATGTTATCCTGTGTGTCCATCCCCGGCGTGTTATCCTATGTGTCCATCCCCGGCGTGTTATCCTATGTGTCCATCCCCGGCGTGTTATCCTACGTGTCCATCCCCGGCGTGTTATCCTATGTGTCCATCCCTGGCGTGTTATCCTATGTGTCCATCCCCGGCGTGTTATCCTATGTGTCCATCCCCGGCGTGTTATCCTATGTGTCCATCCCCGGCATGTTATCCTGTGTGTCCATCCCCGGCGTGTTATCCTATTTGTCCATCCCCGGCGTGTTATCCTATTTGTCCATCCCCGGCGTGTTATCCTATTTGTCCATCCCCGGCATGTTATCCTGTGTGTCCATCCCCGGCGTGTTATCCTATGTGTCCATCCCCGGCGTGTTATCCTGTGTGTCCATCCCCGGCGTGTTATCCTGTGTGTCCATCCCCGGCGTGTTATCCTATGTGTCCATCCCCGGCGTGTTATCCTATGTGTCCATCCCCGGCATGTTATCCTATGTGTCCATCCCCGGCATGTTATCCTGTGTGTCCATCCCCGGCGTGTTATCCTATGTGTCCATCCCCGGCGTGTTATCCTGTGTGTCCATCCCCGGCGTGTTATCCTATTTATCCATCCCCGGCATGTTATCCTGTGTGTCCATCCCCGGCGTGTTATCCTATGTGTCCATCCCCGGCGTGTTATCCTGTGTGTCCATCCCCGGCGTGTTATCCTGTGTGTCCATCCCCGGCGTGTTATCCTATGTGTCCATCCCCGGCGTGTTATCCTATGTGTCCATCCCCCGGCGTGTTATCCTGTGTGTCCATCCCCGGCGTGTTATCCTATGTGTCCATCCCCGGCGTGTTATCCTGTGTGTCCATCCCCGGCGTGTTATCCTGTGTGTCCATCCCCGGCGTGTTATCCTGTGTGTCCATCCCCGGCGTGTTATCCTGTGTGTCCATCCCCGGCGTGTTATCCTGTGTGTCCATCCCCGGTGTGTTATCCTATGTGTCCATCCCCGGCGTGTTATCCTATGTGTCCATCCCCGGCGTGTTATCCGTGTTATCCTATGTGTCCATCCCCGGCGTGTTATCCTATGTGTCCATCCCCGGCGTGTTATCCTATGTGTCCATCCCCGGCGTGTTATCCTATGTGTCCATCCCTGGCGTGTTATCCTACAGTTGCAAGAAAAAGTATGTGAACCCCTTGGGATTACGTGGAGTTTTGCATGAATTGGGCATAAAATGTGCTCTGAATGTCATCTAAGTCACAACAATAGAAGAACACAGTCTGCTGAACATAATACTACACAAACATTAGATGTTGCCATGGTTTAATTGCACATAACAATTCACAGTGCAGGGAGGAAAACGTATGTGAGGCCCTAGCTTAATGACTTCTCCCAGAGCTAATTGGAGCCAGGAGAGAGCCAACCTTGACTCCAATCAGTGTGATGATATTGGATGTGTTGCTGACAGCTGTCCTGCCCTTAAAAAACACACACCTGTTTTGGGTTTACTGGTTTCAAGAAGCACTGTCTGATGTGAACCATGCCTCGCAGAAAAGAGCTCTCAGAAGACCTACGATCAAGAATTGTTGACTTGCATGAAGCTGGAAAGGGTTACAAAAGTATCTCCAAAAGCCTTGATGTTCATGTGTCCACGGTAAGACAGACTGTCTACAAAAACTATAAAAAAAACGTAACCGCGTAAAAATGCAGGAAAACGCGGCTAAATGCTAATGCAAAAACGGTAAAAAAAGCTGAAAAACTCCAGTTTTTTAACGCGACTTTACACAGCTAACGTTACCAGTGTTATCAAAATGTCCCGTGTGCGTGAGGAATAACGCTTTGACAAAAAACTGGAAGATGATTGGCTAGCATGCACAGTTTCGCCAGATTTTTCATGCTCCAGATCAGGGGCGGACTGACCATTTGGAAACTTGGGCACTGCCCGAGGGCCCGGGGTCAGTAGGGGGCCCCATGAGATGCCCCTGGTACCTTTTTCATAGGCTTTTTTGAGTTTGGGCAAGGACACAGAGGCCCCATGAGTTGTCAGTCCGCCCCTGTCCATTTGGAAACTCGGGCACTGACCGAGAGCCCGGGGTCAGTAGGGGGCCCCATGAGATGCCCCTGGTACCTTTTTCATAGGTTTTTTTGAGTTTGGGCAAGGACACAGGGGCCCCATGATCCCCTATTGCCCAAGGGCCCCATGAGTTGTCAGTCCGCCCCTGTCCATTTGGAAACTCGGGCACTGACCGAGAGCCGGGGGTCAGTAGGGGGCCCCATGAGATGCCCCTGGTACCTTTTTCATAGGCTTTTTTGAGTTTGGGCAAGAACACTGGGGCCCCATGATCCCCTATTGCCCGGGGGTCCCATGAGTTGTCAGTCTGCCCCTGCTCCAGATTTAGTAAATAGCCCCCTTAGTCTGCATATGTAATATACATAATATGGTTGTCACCATGTACATTTGTATTGAGATACTTTTTTTTTTTTTTTTTATTATTATTATTGACATATATAGGAATATTTTACATCAAGCGGATCTTTTTATTATAAAAATGTTGACTATACATTCCCTTCTCATCCTTCTTTTTTTTTTTCTCGGAGTGGCTTTGGCTTTAGCAATGCTATGCGCCTTTAAGCAGCAGCCAGTAGCGACCATCCATTGCTTTCTGCTCTGGCCGCACAGGACTGCTGAAAGAGAAAATCTGATTGGTTACTGCAAATACTGCACTGTGTTCTTTGGCATTATGGAAGGATCTTGGTAATCTCTCTGTTGTACATTGTCTTTAGTCTCTATAAATCCTGGAATGTAAATGGAGGCTCTGCTTAAAGGCAAAAAAAAAAAAAGTAAAGGTATTTTAACAATGCAATGCTGCTTTCCAGCGTTCCGATCTACATCCTCTGTAAAAGGAAAAATACTGGGGGATCGCTA